GTCCCTCCAAAGCTCATGCCCTTGAATGCCTGCCTCCCACATGATGGTGTTAGATGGAGGTGAAGCCTTTGGGATACAATAATGTTTAGATGAGGTCATAGTGTAGAGCCCCACGACGGGGTTGGGTTCTGATAGAACGAAGAGATCAAAAAGCTTTCTCTGCTTGCATGTGGGGACACAGCAAGATGGAGGCTGCCCAGCACCGGGGAACACACCTTACAGGCATTTTAACTCCAGAGTTCCCAGCCTCAGGACCCAGATGAGCAAACACTCCCTGAAGTCATGCAGTCTAACATTGTGTCTCAGCCTGCAGCCTGGGCAGACCAAACAGAAAGAAGGAGGAAGTGCAGGGGCCTCCTAAGTGATGGTGGACGGTTCTGAAAAATAATCTGATTTCCATTTTTTTTCTTTCAACTTCAAAGTTGTGTGGAGGCTACATGTACCTCATACAAACTATATGCTGAGCTTTGATCTTCTCCCAGGCTGGCACCGTGGCAGGTAATCTTTCTTAGAGCTGGGCAGCACTGGCACAAGCTACAGCCAGAGCTCAGCCATAGGATCCCAAGGGAAGCGGAACCAAAGGCTCACCAGTGCTCCATGGCACCAGCCTGGACACTGTGTCGGTCAAGTGTATTCAGCCCATCTCTTGACCTGAGGGTATTTTGAATTTATGGTGAGTGAGTTGGAGCGGATCCCATCATAAGTCAAGAAACATCTGTATACCGAAAGAGGGGTTATCTCTGTGTGCTAATGTGTGCAGGTATGTGAAACTTTTGTCAAATGTGCTCAGCCTAGAAGAATAAAGTACATTAATGCCATTAGGAAAATAAAACAGTAAATGTTTTCCCTTTCTTTCTGTGGGCCAGTCACCGTGGCCATCTGACTCTTTTTCACTTCCTCACCTCTCACCCCAGGTGGAAGTTCTGCTTTATCTCTGCACTGTGGAAGAGGGAAGGAAGACTTAGGGAGTTTCGGTGTCTTAGTTATTGTTTCTGTGGCTGTGATAAAAACACTGTAATCAAAGCAACTTGGGAAAGAAACTTGGGGAGGAAAAGGGTTTATTTCATCTTAAAACTCTCAGGTCATACTTCATCACTGAGGGGAATCAGGGTAGGAACTCAAGGCAAGGACCTGGAAGAGGGAAAAGAAACACGCACACACAGACACACACAGCACACATGCGCACACTCACACAGTAGAGTTGTGCGGCTTACCGGCTTGCTTCCCATGGCTTGCTTCCCCTGCTTCCTCCCACACCCCAGGATCATCTGCCTGGGATGATCCCACCCACAGTGGACTGGGTCCTCCCACATCAGTCAATCAAAAGCAAGTAGGGGCATTTAGTAGCTGGTAGGGGCATTTTCTCAATTTGAGATTCCCTCTTCCCGAATGATTCTAGCTTGTGGCAAGGTGACGTCAAACCAGCCAGAGCATTAGGTGGCATTCCCAAACTGAGGCTGCGAGGAAGACCATTTATATAGCTGTGGAAACACACGTATAATATGTGAGCAACAGGGAAGAGGCTAAGGATGGGGACTGGCTTGGGAAGAGAGCTTTATTGAAGTTTATAGAAGTTAAGCCTAGATACACCTTCCTGTACCTCACAGGCCTCCCTGGGACATAACGCATTTGGAAGTACCTGAAAAAAAAATCACATAGACCTGTACTAATGAAGGCCAGCTAATCAATATCTTATCAAGGCATAATGTACTTAGTTTTCAAGTTCTCTCATCAAATCCCCTTTGAAGAAGGAAGAACACAAGCATCTAGGAGAGGAGGAGTGTCTAAGTGAACTGTGGTGCCCCCACACCACAGACAACTTTGTAGCAGTTAAAGAACCAGCCACTGATTGCCTTGACTGGCCCTCAGACTGCTCTGGAAATGTAGCATAGAGCACATGAGTAATTACACTTCATCTGTGGAGGCTTCAAGGACCAGGCTCTGAGCATAAAGGAAGGAAGAATGGAGGTAAGAAAGAAGAGGCTGAGGAGAATCCAGCCCCATAATTCTAAATCTAAACTGAAAGTACACAATATGAACTCATAATCTCGCTTTTTCTACACACAGACATACACAGACAGGCAGACAGAGAGAGACAGAGACAGACAGACAGACACAGAGACACATAGAGGCGGGATCAAGGGTGACTAGCCTCAAAAAGCTATCTCCCTGCTTCAGCCTCCCAATTTTTGCTGCAACTATGGGTGTGCCCAGCTGAATATATCCTTATTATGAATGGCAATATATTTCCTAACTCTGTCCACTGAGAATAACCCAACAACTCAGTGACCATGATCACTAAATGCCCACAATGTGGCCCCCTAGGAATTATTTCCCACTAAGAAGAATTGGACATGGCCTTTTCCAGGCCCAGGTCAGAGCATAGGGCCTTGGAGTCTCCTCGCTATTTGGATGACATCGAAGATGAATGAAGGTACATCAGAAGGTATCAGCTGGCAAGAGACGGTAAAACCCACCCATCAATAAAAATAATCAGTAAAACAGATTCATAAAACATACCTAAGGTGTTTAGAAGACACTGAAGACAAAACAAAAACTCCCATCAGCCACCAAACACGAATGATACCAAGTCACTCGTGTTGGAAACCAGCAACAAAGAGAAAGAATCAAATACTCTCCTGCCCTTCTTGTGTGAGGGATGGTACTAGGTAATAACCTAGGAGTTGAGAGGAATCCCTCCTTTTGGAAGCCTTGCAGCTCATCAACAAGGAATGAAAGATAAAATGAGAACATCACCATTTCACAACCCGAATTAACTAATGGAGTTCAGCAACAAACACTGACAGTGGCTAAAATATCACACACACACACACACACACACACACACACATACACAGAGAGAGAGAGAGAGAGAGAGAGAGAGAGAGAGAGAGAGACATCATTGCATGTCTTCTGACAGGACAGCCCAATAAGTCTACAAATGTCAAACTAAGTACGATTAAATATCAAAATCAAACACCCAATTGATAGGAAATATGAATGACAGAAGAACATGATGGTCATCAGCTAGAACCTTCATATGGTAAAACACGTAACTTTGTCTAATATGCACAGGGGTGGGGGGATGGGAGGAGGTGATGGTGGCCCAGCCTCATCTAATATACACAGAGGTGGGGGAGGGGAGAGAGAGAAAGATAAAGTATAATTTAAGAATACACATGCTGGTCTACAGCCCTGTGCAGCCCTTATTTGGAGTCTGGTTTTAAATGGTGTTTTAAAAAATCATTTATGGGACAATTAAAATTACGTACACTTGCCCGATGGTATTCAAAAGTTACTGGCATTTTTATTAAACTGTGCTAATGGTGTCGTGGCAGTGGTAAAACCGAAAGGGTTTTCTCCTAACACGGCAGCAGGTAAAAATGGAGGTGGGGACGCAGCTAAAAGCAGATGGCTCCTGTAATGATGGCCATGGAGGTTGGATGAAAGCTCATAAAGGTTTGCTCCTTCTCCTTCCCCTTGGTTGTGCTCAAGAGCTTCCATGAGAAAATGCTAAAGCAAACCCTTCCTGGGGTGACAGTGCTTGGCGTGACACTGGGAGCATCATGGTTTGGCTAGTGCTTTTTTCTGAAGTTTCATAACCTTTATATCATCGTGACGGCCTCTGTGTTTCAGATCATCTGTGCAGGGGGTCCCCAAAGAGCGTCTCCATTCCCTTTCCTTTTGAGTCACATTAATATTGTCCTTGAGAACGTATACATACACAAAAATATGCCAGGAGAAAAAAAAAAAGAGAGAGTCCTCATGATGTAGGGATTTTAATCCAAAGCTACAAAGAACAAGAGGCCCTCATGATATCACAGGCTGCAGACTGAGTGCTGTGGAACCAAATCTGCCCAACACAGACATTCAGGGCGTCCATGATGGAAGAGAGAAGAGAGAGGTGAACAGCTGTTTTCAGTCTGAAATCTTGACCAAATGACAAGGGACACTGGTCACAGCCTCGTGTCATTGTTTGCGTTGGTACAGCTGTGTAGACTATCCTAAATGAGACAGAGTGTCGATGACAGGGCAAGCCACTCACATTCTCTGTCCTCAGGATCTGTTAGGACCCTACTGATGCCCTGCAGGTTGAGTCCTTCCTGTGGTCTTCATTTAACCCCGGAGCTCAGCCCTTTGGGGTCTTTTCACACTGCTGAAATAGCCTATTTATTTGCCTGTCTCTCACCTGGCCCTGAGCCTTGCAAAGGACAGGGGCTTTCATCTGTTCTTTGCGGTGTCTCTCACCATTATCCAGGCCCTGGAGTACAGAGCTGCTCAGAAAATCCTAACTGAATGGGGGGGGGGCAGTCACCATGGAAGCGGTGCAGAGTGCGGGCATCACAGATAGGTATGGGCTTGACTCTTGACCCAAGCAGCTCACTATTCCCACTTTACCTGTGTCACACTGTTGTTTTCAGTCTACTCTTGACCTCGTAGAAGAGTTTAGAATGTGTAAAAGACCATAAACCATTTTCCCCCCTGGTCAAGATAAAGCAAAGACAAATGGTTCCCCAACACATAGTGGTTTGATTTCCAGTACCCTGACTTTACAGTGGTGCCTAAGCATGGGCACTGAGTGGGAGCCATACTTCTGATCCATCTTTCCCTGGCTGGTGCTGCTAGGTAGGATCCTCTTTCTAGACCCTGGGTAGTGAGGGAGCAGAAGCTCCCACTCAGCCTGTGCTCCTGAGGGAAAGGGCCGGTTCCTCACAGGGCTCTGCGAAGAAGCTTTGATGTATGTAGCGAGTGCATTTAATAGGCTGTTTCAACTTAGGATGGGTTTACCCAGGGTGCAGTCCCAGTAACGCAACCTAAGAAAACCATCTTCGAATTTCACCGTACACTAAATCCGGAATTGTCCCTGCTGGTTGACCTATAAGCAGCAAGAGCTGACGTTCTAACCGAAGTCGTAAAACCTCTGACTTGTAGTTAAGAGTCAAGTTGTGAAGTGGCTAAGGACCACCTCATGGCACAATGATTTGGGTCAATGAGCAAACCTGGGCGTCTTCGAATGTGTATCTCCCTCCATCTTTGACATTCTGACTGGTTATCTCATAGCTGTGAGAATCGAGGTTGATTGCACTCGGGGCTCCGGGGGCTAGAAACTCCTGCCAGATTTCCTCCACCCTCTTGGCCACGTCCTGGAGAGGTTGCTTCTTGAGATCCTGGACAGCCAGCCAGAACCTGGAGTGAAAGCAGAAACACGATCGGTTCCACTTGGACTCTGCTAGAGATGGTCCCAGAGCTGATGGCCAGCCCCTTGCCTGCCTAGACACTGCATGTGAGTTCCACGGAGACTGCTCCAAGTACAGGGTGTCCTGTCTGGGACAGAGGGAAAGTGCACGTGAGAAGATGCTGGGGCGGGGGGAGGGCAACAAGACATTCTCTTCCATCTACATGGTGGTTTCTCAACCCCAGAGCAATAGTCATTCAGGCCGGGGGACTCCTGTTTGGTGTGGACGGGCTATCTTGTAGAGCAACAAGCAGCAACTTATCCCCCCGTCCCCGGCCCACTGGACATCAGCAGCGTCCCTTAAGCCACAGCCTCCAGCAAATACCTCCCGACATTACCAAATGCTCCTGGGAAGTAAAAACTCTGCTTCTCTTCCTGCAGGTCTCTACACAATGTGAGCCTCTTTGTCAAATCTGGCTGGGGGTCCCTTAGGGGCACCAAGACAAGGAAAAGGAGGTGTGGGGGATCAGCTCAGCAGTTAAAAGCACTTGCTGCTCTTGCGGAGGACTGGGGTTTGGTTCTCAGCATCCACAGCGGGCAGCTCACGATCGCCTGTAACTCTGGTTCTAGGACATCCGCTTCCCTCTTCTGGCCTCCCCAGGCGCTGTACGCAGGCGCCGCACACAGGGACAAGCAGGCACGCACACAGACACACGGATAAAATTAACAAAACAAAATTTGAAAAGGAACATGTCACAAAAGCAGGCAGGAGCCTGAAATTATAAAAGATATCTGGTCGGGGATGAAGCAGCTGTTCGTGTCAGAGAATAAGTAGGGCCGCTCACAGCAGCGTTCAACATGATGCCGGGCAGCTAGTAGGTATTCCATAAACAGTCTAGAGTTTGTCTGAAACAAAGCTGAAGGGGCATCTCTATCCTCTAGGGAATGTGATAGAAGAGTATCTATCACTTGCAATTGCCTCCCCATAATCCCTCAGCGTCCGCACAAGAGCAGATGAACCACAAGGGGAAAGCACATTCAATCTGCCACCGAATTTCACGCAAAGTAGCATGTACTTGTTTTATTATTATTATTATTATTATTATTATTATTATTACTATTATTTTAAAGGGTTAGCATGGTTTTCTGCTGCTCGGGGTGGGGGGGGGAGAATGTTATCTGGATCAAATGTGTGGCTCAAAGGCGTCACCCAGTGGCTGACCCAAGTAATGCAGCCCCATTTCCACAAGGAGCGTTGGGACACTGTATGTGCTTCCGGGATGTTTCCAACTTTCCCTCTTGGCCTTTAGGGATCTAACGGTCTTTTTAAAAGAATACCCACCCACCCCACCCTCCAAACCTGAAGAGCAAAGAGTGCAAGGAAGATAAGAACATCCCCTCTATCAGGAGAACAAGTTCTGTTCTCAGCCTGGCTGTGCTGCTGTCTGGAATTGTGCCTTTCCGGGTAGTCTCTGATCACCCGGGAAGTGGGTGCAAAGTGAGTGAAGAGGGGATGCAGCAGAACTCTGAATGATTTCCCAGCTGGGCTTCACTCTAGAATGCTTCCAGGGTCCTGGGCAGGAGCCAAGGGACAAGCAAGTGGCAGGCCAGTCAACGCCTCCTAGCCTGAGCTCTTAAGATCTCAGCTCTTTCTCCAGTGGTGGTCGGGGGAGGATGCTGCCAGGTCATTACTGATGCTCGGTACCATCTCTTGCCTTTCAACACCTGCCCTTCTTGGAGCTCATGTCCTTCTGGCCTCCAGGGAGAGGAGTCCACAGAGCTTTACGGTACCTACTGGGCCAATGGAGAAACAGGAAATGGCCTCCGGGCCAAGGTTCTGGCTGTGGCTAGCCTTCTGGGTCAGCATTCTTCCTGCGCCCGTAGGGCTTCTGTGACTCCTCACACAAATAGATGGTACGTGGGTAGTTATTTTTGCTGTCTCCATCCATGTCACCTGAGAGGTCACCTTTTACCATCTGTCCCTTGCTAGTCCAGTCTGCTGTACAGGAGCTCCAGAGACCCATGGGAAGGCCCCGAGGACCTCTGAAGCTTCTGAGCTCTGTAGATCCCTGTGGTCCTGGGGGACTTCAAGATCTCTTCTGCAGAATGACGCTATGAGAGGCATTGTTCTGCACCTCCCTTTTCTGAGTAAGCAGAAGGAGCAGAGCAGATGCCAAAGCAAATTTCAGAATCAAATCGAACACATTTTTTACACTGAAAACCACCAAAAGATTTCCTCCATTAATCAAAGTTGAGAATTTCTTCTTCTTCTTCTTCTTCTTCTTCTTCTTCTTCTTCTTCTTCTTCTTCTTCTTCTTCTTCTTCTTCTTCTTCTTCTCCTTCTCCTTCTCCTTCTCCTTCTCCTTCTCCTTCATAAAAGCACAAGGAAAAACAGCAGCATGTCATGGGAGGGGGGTGGGGAGGAGAGGAGACGGTGTGTGTGTGGGTGTGTGTGGGTGTGTGTGGGTGTGTGTGTGTGTCTGTGTGGAGGTGCGCCTAGTATCAACAGCTTTCTCTCCCTGTGTACAAAGGACTCAGCCCAGCCTTCTGTCTGCCTCGGAGGTGACCTACCTCATCCCTCCTAGGTGACAGCAAAAACACTGTCACACCAGCATCCCGACATCTCGTACGTGTTTACCGTCTTGGCTTGGAGGAACCTTTGTGGTGATTTGAAATTCAGAACAGCCTTCGGCTTTTGCTTGCCGTCTTCCTGCCCCACCAACTGGGAGCTCGGGGGCAGCCACCCCTCCTGCCCCCACAGCCACCAAAGAGTCACAAAAAGGCGTCTCTCTGCGTATCCTCTGCGGATGGGTGGCCCACTGAGGAGAGAGAAATGGCTGCTCTTATCAAGAGCCTGCAGGTACCGCTCCTCCGAGGAAGCGGCTGGGCGTCAAATGCCGGCAGCTTCGTCAGATGCAACCATCCTGCACTAAGCCCTGGGCTGGAGGCAGGGAGCCCTCAAGGACTGGCAGGGCACGGAGGCTCCATGGTGTGCAGAGACCACCCGTTCTGCTTCCCCCGCTAGCCACGGCCAATTGTCAGAGGAGAGAGGGGCATCTAGCCCTGTGCTGGCATTTGATCTGTGCTAATGGCTTAGAAACAAATTCAGGAGGGGAAACTGGCCTTGGGCGAGGGCAGCTTGTTCCAAAAAACGCTCGGGTAGAGTATCTGGGGGCTTGTGGGACTAGAGGGTGGCCCACGGCCGCCTTACTTGCCTCCTTTCTCCCTAGATGCTGACAAGCAATGGGGATTTTCTCCTCCCGACTGGCCAGAGCGGGAGACCACGAGCTATCCATCATCAGGAGGTCCTTCCGGGTGTGGGGGGGGGCCCTGCACTTACCAGCTTACCTATCTCTTCACAAACTAGAATGCTACAAAACACAGCCCTGGCCTTGTTCCCAGAGAAAGTGAACTCGCTGGCAGAAGGAAGTGTTTCTGTGCCCTCTGCTGGCCATTGGGTGACGCAGAACAATGGACAGAAAAAAACAGATTTTTCTATCTGGTTCGGCTTCCATTCTCAGGTGCCCCACATGAGCAGCTAGCGTCAGCACCACCCAGGCCGCACTGGGCGGGGGCCAAACTGCTGCAGATGGCCAGGGCCTTGCGGAGTCACTCGATTTGTCATGTGTTTGGTTACTGTGGGTCCCCACTGGGCCTAATGAAACTTCTGGGGTCTTCCTAGGGCTTGGGGCAACTGCTGAAGCCAGGGTCTGAGATGGAACTCTTGAGGCAAAACCTGGCAGCCCCCAGCTCTTGCTTTTAATTGCTTCTCCCTTCAGCTGACACTGTATGGAAGTGGGGTCATCAATCTGCAGGTTAGAAGAACAGCTCTGCTCTCTCAGGAGATGTTACAGCTCATAAAAAATGTAGGGGGGTGGGAAACGCTCTTTGTTGTAGGTTTTGATTTTTAACTCGTGCCCTGCTGTACGGCAGAGGGTGCCAAGCCAGGGAGGACAAAGGGGAAGACGGAGTGGGAGCAGGAGCGAATGGGCACTGTCACCATTTGGGGACAAAACAGGGAACAGGATAAAGTCAGCTCCTTGTTGCCTGCCTCAGGACCGAGAGGCTCTCAACCTGCTGGCCCAGCAGTGGCCACACACACCTCAGAAAGCTGGGCCTTGGACTTGGCTTGGGTGGTTAGAATAAGAGATGGGCAGCCTCTGACACAGACAGACACAGCAAAGGATGTTGTTGGACCTGTCCCCTCTCCTGTCCCCGGAGAGGACAACCCTCAGTCATTTCACAGACTTACCCAGAGGAAAATGACCCAAGGAGGGGCTGAGAAAAATGCTTGCTGTGCAAGCACGAGGACTTGAGTTCGGATCCCCAGCTCCCATGAGAGGCCAGGTGTGAAAGTGTGTGCATGCAGGTAATTCCAACAAGACATGAGGAACTCCAGGGTTTGCTGGCCAAGCCAGTCTACCAAAACAACAAGCTACAGGTTCAGTGAGAGACCTTGTCTCAAAAAAATAGAGTGGAGAATGGCCAAGAAAGACATGTGATGTCTCTGTACATGCGTGCACGCACACTCGTGTGCATATACATCCACACAGCTATGCAACTGTGCGCATGCACCATACACACACGGATGAGAGGGGCCTCCCGGTGATACTGTGTTACTGTGGAGCACTTGCCTCGAAAGCTCTAGGCAGCACTTTGAGCCCCTCTCTCCCTTGTTCTGAAGCCCTGGAACAATTTACTTGCTGGCGCTCCATGTGCTGTGCCCAGGAAGACTGAGTGAAATATCCTGTCCAGTAGAGAGATTTGAGGAGCACCAGAAGACAGACGTTGGAAAGCACTTTGCAATATACTCATTCTTCTCCCTTTCTTCTTCTGCTTTGACTCCAGTATCCCGGGCCGTGGGGAGAGAGGACAACCCAGCAGGACCAATGCAACAGATGATCAGGGGCCTCAAGCTGTGCCCTTGCCCCAGCTCACAGTGGCACAACGGCTATGGTGGAGGCACAGCTGCCTGGCCATGCGTGGTTACCGTGTACAATGGGCAGAGCCAGATTAATCCCGAGCCCTTGGGACCTGGGTCATGGAAGGGTTTAGCCAAGGTAGGCGGCTGAAGGAATGAACAGAGGGGAAGGAAAGCAGCTATTTTGTGACAAGGGACCGAAGGGTCTTCCAGCTGTGTGATTAAAAGCTGAACTTTCCTCTCTGTATCCAATTGTGCCGAATACCATCAACATGGGATCGGGGGCCCTTTTGGAGAGGACTGTGCAAAGCCCCTGGGCCATACTTTTTCACTCTGCTGTTCTAGTTTCCTTTGTCTGCCTTCTTGTCCTGGGTTGGGGGGGGGGGCTCCTTTAAGTCTGGGTTTGTGCATGCAGGCAGGGGGCTGGCACATACTCACACACGTGCACGCACATTCTTTCACCCATGATTAAATGTAGCCCTCCTGGCACCAGGCAAGCTGCTGGCAGAGGCACAAACGGAAATAGCAGAAGGGGCGGAACACCTGCCAGGGACACACTCCCTCCGTGCACTTGGGACTTGAGTGTCATGCATATTTCCTGAAACCAGTCTGATTGGAAAAGCAGCCCTGGCTGCACTGCAGCTTTTGACAGTAAGAGCCCACAGACCAGGCAGAGAGCAGCCAAGCAAGCGGATGCCCCCGGGGCCTTCACAGTGAACAGGATCCTGCGGTCATCCTTCTTACTATCTGTACGCTTTCAGGTGGCAGAGGGCTTTTAGGTCTACTTGTGGGCTAAGAAACCAGCAAAGAACACAACCTGTATCGTTCCATCTTGGAACCCAAATGGGACAGAAGGACCTACGGGAACCCAGATGGAGATGGAGATGGAGTCTGGGACTGGCTGACCACACAGACAGACCAACTGGGAATGTACAAACAGCTTACTGTGTAGATGGCCTGGGACTACTTATTCCCATTAAAATAGCATTCTGAGCTGCCTCCTCACTCTGAAACCCCACACTTCCATAGTTTGACTCGATGAATGGTGTTATCAGAGCCATTTGACTATTTAATCCCATTGAAAGCCTCCATCCTGACCATAGCCAGAGAATTGGGTTCGAATTCCATACTAGAATTTGACTCCCACTGATAATTTTAGGTGTCACCTAGGTGAAGAGGATTAGAAATCAAAGCTTCTGTTGCAAATACCTAGTCAGGGACCAAAGCAACACCCTGAGCTGGGGTTAGAATATTCTAAAGAGAATGTTGAAAGAGCTCTTTTATCATAACCTGAAGAAGGATGGCCTTGTCTGGTCCGTGATAGCCATAGGTCTGATCAGAAAGACATTGACACACCGTTGGTACCAACATCATCCCAAGACTGCATGGCCTGGTACGGTCCTACTGTGCAGCAGCTAATCTTGATTTACGGTTTTTATTTGACTGGCTTGAGAAGGGATGAGGATGTCAGTAAAACACAGATCTGGGGGGTGTCTGTCAAATGCATCTCCAGAGAGGATTAACTAAGGGGGAAGACACAGCCTGGATGTGGGCAGCGCTACCCACATAAGCTGGGGGGCATGGATGCATTGGAAGCGGGCAGAGGGGGATCCACAGTACCGGTGTTCTCTTTCTGCATCCTGGCCACCAATGTGTCTGCTCTGTTTCACCCACCACCGTCCACTGATGCCTCTGTAATCAGGGGCCAAAATAAATCTTTCTTCCTGAGTTGTTGTTGGTCACAGAAATGAAAAAAATTCTGCCTTGCACCCAGCCCATGGCTACTTCAGTGCCATGGCTTAGAATATATTCCCCGTTTTCACTTGGTCCAGTGATGCTTTGTGAATTCTTCAAAGCCAAGCTTGTGATGTGCCCATTTTCTCTTTCATCCATTCCTCCCTCCTTTAAATGCTCCCAAAATGGCCTCAGAGGCGACACCAATCTGTACCTAATTAGTAACTTAATAGCTTCTCATGTGTTCTCTTCAAGGACCCACAAGATTGTTTCCAGGGAGAGATCACACATCTTGACTGTCTTGCATCCTTTAGTAGACCCTGGTGAGGCTTGCTGTAGCATAGGTGTGCCATAAATATCACCTGATTGGTGACAAGGATTTTACCTATCAACCTAAAGGAACACAGTCCATTCCCAACAATACATGCTCTAATTTATCTTTAATTTAAAAAAATCTCAAAAATTAATAAAAGTCTATCTCAGAAAGTAGCTTTAGAACACAGAAATTGACTTAGTGTGTAAAAGAGAACCTGACACAATTAGGAGACAGGGGTTTGTGGCATTGGTGGTAGATCTCAGTTGTGGAGAGGGCACCAGTTGGCTAAGACCACTGTGATGGCTCATCTTGGTTGTCAACTTGATTGCACATGGAATCAAAACAAAAGCTATCAGGCATTCCTGTGAGCGATTTTTCTTATTCAAATTATCTGAAGCCAGGGAAGGCCCACTCTAAATGTGATGGTACCTTCTGATGGCAGCACTGATAAGGGGATGAAGGAAACTGCTTCTTGGATGCCTGCCCTCACTCCCTGGCAAGCCTATGCTTTGTGTTGTGATGGCATTCCTTCATCCATAGAAAAATCAATGTCTTCAGGATTCCAGTGCCAATCAGCAGGTCTCTGGGAATCCCCTAGGTCTTCAGGGCCAAATTGGGACAGCTGAGACATCCCATCACACAGACTGAGTAACTACTGGATTCTCAGCCTCTCCAGTGTGTGAGAGTCAGGGCTGGATTCCCCGGCCATATCCTGCGAGCTAGTCTAATTGTCCTCCTTTAATGAAAGTATTCACCCTGGCAGTTCCTCAGACAATCACTGAGGGTTCTCAACCTAGTGACACACCTAACCCCATTCCCATGAGTCACCTGGTTCCTTACTTAACACAACAGAAGGCTGAATAAGCTCGCAGTCACTCATTTTCTGTGACTAAGAACTTCTTTGCTTTCTACTTATCCCTCTCTTCATTTTACAACAGATCTCATTTTTCAGGTGCTTTCTTTCTTCTCCTACTAAGTAGTAAGTATTCGTACATTCTCCCCATAAGGTATTAGTTATGGGCCTGCAGGAACAATCAGGTATTGTCAGTGCCATCAGCTGATCCCAGAGTCATAAGGGACAGAACTCTTAGAAAGAAAGTGCATGCTTTTATTAGCTCCTGTATTCACATCTCTACTTATACAACACAGACTTGGCTTGTTAAAGTTCTGAATTGAGCCCCCTGACGTGCCCCTTTCTGTTTAACTTTTCAGGAGTCCTGAATCTTTAGGACTCACACATTTTGAAGAAGGCGTGCTCTGAGCTGCCTCCTCACTCTGAAACCCCACACTTTCCCAGTTTTACCCTATGAATGGTGTTATCAAAGCCATTTGACTATTTAATCCCATTGAAAGCCTCCGTCCCAACTGTAGCCAGCAAAGCTGGTACTTGAATTTGACCCCAGTGATGTTTTACTGAGAAAGGAAGATGGAGAGACTGATGATGCAAATTTATGCACACACACACACACACACACACACACACAGAGAGAGAGAGAGAGAGAGAGAGAGAGAGAAAAGCAAACAGGTAGAGAGAGAAAAGAAAAAGAAAGAGAGAATACAATGCAAACGTTTAACTTACCTGAGATTTTCTGAACTGAATTCGGACTCCAGGAACCGAAGGAACTGGTCCCGCCCCACCTGGTCCTTCAGGATCTCATCAAAAGAGAAGCCCCATCGTTTTACTCGCTGCTGGCTGGGTTCTTTGCTTTGGGGTGGGAGGAGAAGGTTTGAAAAATGATCAGTTTGTAAAAATAAGCTTCCATCCTATTCTCCCTGAGAATTCAAAGCTGCTTTGCCACCGCATATCACAGAGAGCCATCTCAGGTGTGACAGAGTCTACAAAACCCACCCAAATTCCACATGTACACTTCCACACACCCATGCTCACAGGTGGTAAACAGCTGCTGAAAAGGGGCGGGGGGAGGCTGTGTTGGGGGAGGGTCCCCAAAGTGCCCAGCAAGTGACCCCTGGGGACTGGAACCTATTCCCAGCACAGATAGGGCTTCCCTGGACCTTCCATCAATTACAGATCCAACTTCCGACTCTCTCCTTTTTGCGCTTTTTCTATTACCCAGTATATCTCACGAATCCAACTTTTCATCTAAGAAATTAGCTCCCCAGTTTTTTTTGTTTCTTCTTCAATATACAAAGGAGAGTTGAGCCTCCGATTAGAGGTAAGTGACATACTGGTTATAAACACATGGATTCAACCACAGTAAACCAGATTCACTTACTTAGAAACAGCACACTGCCTCTGCTCGCTGCTTTAGCCACTGCACATTGTTTGCGGTGTTCTGGACATTGTTCTAATCACCTTCCACCTATCTGCCAATGGGCTGAGTTCTTGCAGTTGCTCTGGGAAGTATGATAGGTTTGTCTCCTTCTTCCAGATAGGGAAACCTAGTGATCAGTTGCCTTGGGACTTATAGCTAGGAAGTGATGGAGTCAGGAATCCAATCTGGTTGTGTGGCTCCAGAGCACAGACTTGGGCTCTGAGCTCATCATCCTTGCTCTGCAATCTCACATCCACCCAGAAGAAAGGGGGTTGGTCATACTCTTTTGGTCCTGAACTAGTACAGTAACTCCTTCAGGGTCCCTTTTACCACACAAAGCCCATTGGCTGACCCTTCTTGAAACAATAGCTCCTACTTCACAAATCACATGCCAGAACCTCCCCTCCCTTCCCCACTCCCATCCGGACTCAAGGTATGACTTGCAGACCAAGCAGGACCACAACCCACATCCGGAGATGGTAGACCAGAAGCTCCAATTTCACAAGGGTCCCCAGAGACTTAGTCAGAGCAACACTTGGGAAACACTGGTGTAGACATTTTTTTTTTCCTTTTAGGGATAGACAGGCCCTTTAGGATCCTTAACAGTCAGTATATAAGATCACGGGTTTTTCCTTATTATAGAGTTGGAATACTCTCCATATTTCTCTTAGAAGAGAACTGGTGCATTGAAATGTTTTAAAAGCAACTAATTCTAGAGAAGCCTGAGCAGGAAAAGTTCCTGGACTGGTGAAGCCAGTTTATATCCATGCTTTGCAGGCTTGGCGCCACCATCTGCACAGGCACTGAGGGCCAGTAAAGCCCTAGTATAGCAGATGACCTGAAGTGAAAGTTAAGATGTAAGAAATTAAAGCAAAACTTAAACAGTCATCTGTAGCTAGCAGCTATGGTACTGGATATGCGGTCTAGATGCAAGCCAATTGAACCCAGTTACTCCTGCACTGAACTCGTGTGATTGACAGCAACGTGTTCTATTTCTAGGGCAGTGATCAGTAGATGGTATATGTGGGAATCAGGGAAGCTTTTGCAGTATGACTTTGCATTTCCAGGCAGAGCTCAGTAGGGTCACAGTAGTAGGCTAAACCTATTAAGCCAGGCAATAGGAAATTTCTCCATACATGATCTCTTGAAAAGTATGGGTTTGGGCTTTTTACAATAAGGCATGACAACAGATCCTGGATTCTATGGGAAGCAAGCAGCAAAATTAATCAAATTTGGTAAGGCACCAAGGGATTGAAAGTACTGTTTGTAGAGACAGTGCCCTGAAGTTGAAACCATCAACAAATTGAAGTCCCTGAGAGCCTCAGGAACATTCCTCCTCCAGGGTCATGCTCTGACCTGTGTCCTCGGATGGGCTGGTGGCAGCTGGACCCTCACCAAAGGCTGTGGCCAGATACTTGGTATGGACAACAACTCAGTTTTGTTTTTTTAACATCTGTCTCATAGATGCACAGTTATCACCACTGCCGCCATATTCTGATGACAGGCGGTGGTGTAGAAAGAGAGAGGGTACTAGCCCAGGAGTCAGATATGGCCCCAATGGAAGGTTTGGGCCTCACAGTTCCAGATGTTGGAAATCAAACCCCAGAGTGTTAGCAGAACCACGCTTGCTCTGAGGGCCTTAGAGGAAAATCTTCTCAGGCTTCTCCCTGAATTTCTGATGCATCAGTCCTTAGCTCATAGGCTGAGCCTCCTCCTCTATTATCACATGGCTTCCCTCCCAGGTTTCTGAGACTCTACACAGCATTTCCTCTTCATGTGTGTCTCTGTATCTATTTCTTTTCTTTCAAAGGCACCGGTTATATAGACAAGGGGCCCGCCCGACTCCAGAGTGATCTTAATGGAATTAATTATATCTATTACTCTATTTCCAAATAATGTCAGGGTTTTGGGGTTCTAGGGAGAACACAGATCCTGAGGTGATATTGTTCAGTCCAGTTCCCTGAGTCTTCTCAGTTTCCTGCCATTTCTAATCCAGTTCTGTAACTTACCCTCTACAAATGCTCTCCTGCCCCAGTTGGGATTCAGCTCTGCTCAAAGTCTCTTGCTTCTAACATTCCCTTTCCCTCTTTCCTTCATCTTTTGGGTATTCCGAACAACACCCATTGGAAGGTTCAAGAACAGGTCTAGATACACTGCTAGCACTGAATGTTATCTTCTATTTATAAATTAAGTTTTAGAAGTGAAATCGCTTGGTGTCCTCCCCCAGGAGCGGCAGTCTTAATTTCAGCTCGGCGCAATCACCTGGAGAGTCTCAGTGAGGAATTACCTAGATCAGGTTGGTCTCGTACATCTTCCAACAGGCCCACCTGATCAGGGCATGTTCTCAGTTAAGGGTCTCTCTTCCCAAACAGCTGTAGCTTGTTTCATAAGCCAGCCTGCACAGCTCCCTAGGAGCATGCGCCTTCCTGCAGGACCTACAAGGTGTGTGTGGAGGGGGGTGGAAGGGCAAAAAGCTTTTCTTCCTCTGCTTCTGGTGTTTATTTGTACTCCAGTATAAACCAAAAGGTAGATGGATGCTCCGTGTTCAAAAGACTGCAGAGATGCATGTAACAGTCTAGACTTGGGCTCCAGCCGTGTCTGTCTCCAGAGTCCACTCTTTTTTGTTCCCTACACTACTTTTGCCTTCTACTCCATGTTCCTCTTTTGATGTCTAGACTAAGGCTTGAGAAAAGATGTAAGCAATCTTCAAAAGCCCTGAGTTGTGTTACGAGTGAATGTTTGTCTCTCTCCTTAAACTTTGCATGTTGAAATTTTAGCTGCCAATGTGACATATTTGGGGGTGGTTGACTGGCTCACGTACGGAATCAGTGTTCTTATATAA